AATCCAAATCTAAATCTCAAGGCCATTTTTCTACTTTACACAACCAACAATACAACAAAGCAAATATGAAAAACCTTAAGGTCTTTGTGCAAAGTATGACCTAAAAGAATCCTTCCCTTGATTAACTCTATTAGTTTCTTCTAAACAATCCAAAATCATTTACTATAGAGACGAAAAAAAATGCAATATTTTTGAAAGTTTTTCCATGAAATAATCATACTTTTTATACTCTACAATGCTTCAGCAAATGTTTCTAAACCTGACATTGATTTTTTTTTCAAACAAGAAACAAAGTTGAGTCAACTCTCACATTTATAATATAAATTTTAAATATTCAATATTTCATAAATATATTATAGTATTATAGTGTAACATTAATAACAAAAAAAGTATATACTTTTATGAATCAAAAGCAAAATTGTTTCCCCATTTTAACCATATATAAAAAAAATTTCATAAAATATATAAAATCAAAACTAAATGGCAAGCATATATACTATAAAGAGCTTATTGATTGCATATTAAGAGCCTTCTCATCTTTTTTATCTATCCTTGCAAAGTATGAGCAACCTTTCATCTCTACCAACAACAATCTAATATTTAACTCAAAATTAAAAATCCAAATCAATGAATAATCTCTTAAAAGATACAAAATCAAAATTAAATGGCAAGCATATATGCTATAAAGAGCCTACTTATCACATATCAAGCACTTTTTCATCTTTTTTCTTTGTCTTTGCAAACCTTGAGAAACCTTTCAATCTCTATTAACAACAAATTAATATTTAACTTAAAATTAAAAACTCAAATCAAGGAATATTAAAAAACTTGTAAAAATGAAAAAAAAAATACTCTTTTGCCAAATCCAAAATGCCATGAACCTGAAGCAAACCATCAAAATTGATCCTATTGGAATCATCTCTCTTCACCTCTATTTAGCATTAATCCAAAGCTTAAGAAATGTCTTTCGAAAACCCAAAGAAGAGGGCAAAAATTTTTAATACAAAACCTTCTGCTTATGCTTTTTCTTTTCAAAACCTAAAAAATGAAACAAAAAAAAAAAATTCAATCCCCTGATTTATAGAAAAAAATTTTTACCCATCCACTTTTTCTTCAATTTTATTTTTTGGTCCAGTTCAGAGTGACAAGATGATTCAGTGCATTGAAAGGCTAGGTGCACATGGTCAAATTAGGGTTTTTGATAGGTTTACCTTGATTATACACAACAACCAATGTTGATTTATATACAATAGGCATAAATACTTTATCAATCTTTAGAGAGAAATTATAACAAAAAAAAAAAACAAAAAAAATATATCATTTTGAGAAATAATGAAAAAACCAAGAATATGACCTCATAAGCAATAATCCCAGAACAACACCATTGCAATTAAGAGCAGCGATCGTAGTTTTGGCCTGTATGTGAATAAGAAAACATTACAACTTTATTTATGAATGTGTATTAAAGCAACCCAATCTTGAAATGATGATAAAAAAGCTACATATCACTTACAAACTTTATATTCATTTAAAACTCAGATAACATTTTTTATAAGCTAATGTAAGTTCATTAATTAGAGAGAGGCAAACAATAAAAAAAAAAGATTATTCTCTTCCTCCCTAATTTTTTCTTTTTTTTTTTTTCCTTTCTTCCATTTCTCTCGCCATTTTTTGCTAGTTTGTATATCAACTTTTCTTTTTTATTTTTTTTATTCTTGTTATTTATGTGGTCTTATCCTTTTATTTTTCTATTTTTAAATATTATGATTTTTTATTTTTAAATATTATGCTATTATCCTTAAAAACTCAAATTCACACATATCAATTTCATAATACGAAATGACAACCTAAATTAGCATGTAACATCACACGTATCAATTTGCAAGTTCTCATGTGCCAACACAAAATCACTTGAATCAACTATACACTCATACCCCATTTCAAAAACATAAAGACAGAAAAAAAAACTTTATAGATACATGAAAAAGCAATAAAAGATAGAACATAATAAAAGAAAACCTAACCAAAAAAAAAAAAGACAACTGTCAACCTTAGGATCCTTAAAGGATCCTTTTTATTATATTTCTCTAAAAAAAAACTTACATCTATAGAAGTTACTGAATGCCATATGTTATTTATTTGTGATACCTTTGTCATATGCTTACTTTTTTTAAATTATGCTAATAGTTGTAAAAAATAAGGTAAAAAAAAGTTTTAATAAAAAAAGAGGAAAGTATTCCATTTTTCAATATTTGACCAGTCACTTGTCTAAGGCCTTCCTCATGGTCAAGCAACTATTTCCTTATTGTCAATTCCAATCACTTGCTTAAAACAATCAAATCCATAAAACAAAATCCCCAACCTAAACTCCTAATTGCACTTTCCAAAAATTCAAACCTTATATTTTCAAAATCTTTATTCTCCCACAATTAAAGCTTCAAATCAACCCAACAACAATGAATATCTCTACTAACAAATGCATCATTCACACTTTAAAAAAACCCTACAAAACTTTTTAACATAAAGCACCCAAATCCCTCAAACAAACATTATCCATTTCTACATAAAAAAATTCACGTAAACAATTTTAGTCCATATAAACCTGAGAGAACAAAATTACCAAATTAAACCCAATGAAAATGAAGCTACCAGGGTTAAACAATGTGTCAACCATCGGATTGGAGATTAGTGGGTCCCAAGCATAGTCATGCATGAGCTGGCTCAAAGAGGCAACGAGATTTAAAGCACGAGAGGGCTTTAAAATAAAGGAGGCTTTGTTTATTGCGGTGGGGAAAGAAGTGAGGAAATGAGTGAATGAGTGAAGAGTGGAACCTAGATGATTGAAAGAGAGAAATGGAAGGAAATGGGAATTTTGAGGAGGACAAGAGAGGGGAAAAAGAGGAAAAGAAGCTTTGAAAAAAGAAAAAAAGCTTCTAAGATGTATTAGGAAATTTCAAGCATGTTAGACTATTTTTAAGCAAAAAATAATTAAAAAAATTGTTAATGGATAAGATTTGAACAACCTTTAAGTCCAATAGTAATAAACAGATCACAAAGCCCATAGCCTATTGAAAAATTTTTCAAAAAGGAAATAAAAAAGTGTTAAGCGTAGGTTCTTTAAAGGATTTTTTTTTTTATTTATAATAGTATAGATCATTTGGGTTTAACATTAAAATTATTTTGGTTCGAATTATGGATTCGAATTATTTGAGATCCAATTTATTAAATTTTAAAGTTAAATCAATTTAACTTCATATCATTTCAAGTTGATCTTTTGAGTTATTAAAATAAGACTAATTCGAATTTAGATCATTTTAACTTTGAATAAATGAATCTAATTATTAATTTTTTCTTTTTCCAATTATATTAAGTAGATTCGAACGGTTTTCTCATATTCATTTCTGCTTTATCGGCTCTATTTGTTCTCTTCAGTTTTCATCAACAAATCGCTTTCATCATTATTTAAATATAAGTCGGCTCACGTTACCTTTAAACCAAGTTATCTAACTATGAAGTCAACTCATAATTAACCAACGATAGTAATTTCTTTTGATGTCATAAGCCTTTTGGTGATAGCAAAAGTTTCAAGATATGAATTGTGAAAAATGGAAACATGTTAAGTAGAAAACACAAACACCAGAAATTTACCCTTTTTACATTGTTAAAAATTGATCAATTATTAATTACAAAAGGCAGGTTAGTCCAATCTATAATAAGGTTGTATGTCTTGACATAAGTAGTCCTAAATTTGAGCCTTACTGGTAAACTGGCTTAGTACTTGTATTACTGTCTGATCAGAAAACCAATTGTCAACATTTACCCCTAAAATAGGGGTTGAAACAAGTTATCTTCGTTGGAAACTTCAATAACCAAAAAGATTTGATCAATTAGTGGCCATAATTATACTAAGTAAATATATACATGCTTTAATTTCACATACTTCCATTTAATTTGAAAAATTTTTTTAATGGCAAGGGGTTCGTGGGTTTGATTCTATATATTTTTTAGATCAATTTAAGCAAATTTTATTTATGTCGAATTGTAAATTTATTTTTTAAAATACTTCAACCAAATTCAAATGCATGACAAAGAAAAGAATACACATTTTTTTTTACCACTTGAGCTAAGTGGATTAATTAATTAATTAATTAATTTGACACTTTGATCAGTTAAGGTTAATAAAATACTGTATATAGGTGATTAAATGTATAATTGTTGTGAGGCCACCCGGCTGTCATATTCAGCTGGGTAGTATCCAGGGGGGTCGAAAACGGTTATTCCGGAGTTCAGCATAAGACTAAGATTTAAGAACACACTCCAAATCCTAAATATGTCGGCCCAGATGCTTGGGATCATTAAGCCTAGCATGTGCTTTGCGCCAGACATGCCTTTCAACAAGGGAAGACATTGCCTCATTTTCTGCCCTTGTTTTTGCTTGGCTGCTCTCTTTCTTCAAACTCACCCTCATTTTGTTCCCCACCATGTTCTTAAGTGTCATATTGTGTCGGATATGAGATGTCTCAAGAGTTATTTTTTCCCCTTTGTTCAAACTCTAAATATGAAGATGTTGTACTAGAACCTCAAGCAGGAAGGAGAGTTTATAAAATGGGACAGTTCGTTTTAGTAGCTAATTTCAAATATTAATGGTGTTTCATGAATTGGATTGAGCCAAAGCTTGATTCATATATTTAAAACCTTGTTCAAGGAAAATTTATTATGCTAAAAAATGTTTTATAGTAATATTTTAAATTTTTTTTAATGTCTATAAATGTATTTGATGAAGTTTCAATGCAGGATAAAAAAACCCTTTGCCGATTCCTGAATTTATAGATTATTAATTTAACCCCAATGGTAGAGTTTTAAAACCTTATTAGCAACTTAACAAGACAAAATGTTTGGTAATTTAAAAATTTGTGTATTGTTATCTCCTGAATTTTTGCGGAATTTGTAAACTTATTATTTATTTGTCGTAGAAATTAAACATCAATGTTTCATATATCAAGCATGAAAATGAAAGATACCACTGCATGCAAAACATTCTATCTTTACTTATTGATATTAATTACTATTTTTTAAAATAATATTAATTACTAATTAATTTATACCATCTTATACATGGAGTAATTGTCCAACTTCATAGTAATCCCATTGGTGTAGTGGCCACCCGACCCATGGATAAGTCTAGAAATGGTCAATGGGAAAAGAAAAAAAAAGCATGAAACAAGTTACAAAAAAAAAAAAAACTCATTCCGTGCAATTTTCAATTTTACATCAGAAAATATGTACAATATAGAGTTGTTTGACTAATCTTTTTCATTATCAATACTTAAATAAAGAATATGAAAAAGCCTGGATTTTGCATCAACATATCGACACAAAGCAACTATTGCCTTCCAATGCAATAATGTACACACTTGAGTGTTTGGAAAAACTCAATTTTAACTAATTTGCTAGGACCAAACCTTAGAACTGACTCAAAATTCTGGTTATTTTCCCACCAGGTTCTTCACCTAATATCATTCTATCGATTCATATAGTTTGTCTCACTGGGTTACCCAAATCAAATAAGAAATACCTTACTATGTTTTATTCAAAAATGTATTTTTGAGGGTCATTTGCGCACTGTGAATCAATGTCAGTCATCGGTGTAAAAAAAAAGAACCGGTAAGTACAGCTCTACAGAAATGCAAAATAAAAAAAATTGCAGCTCTCTGGCAGGCAATTCCCCAAAACACAATATGTCGCTTCTCTTGCCAAAAGTCTGAACGCAAATTGACAAAACACCACTTGTCCACCACAACGTATGTTAATATATGATAGACGAACGAGGTAGGAATCATGAAATTAGCAAGCTATCAAATATGTGTAAAAGACTCGTCAGATGCACAAACATGAGAATTTTCAGTCGTATTACACCTTGTGGTGAAGTCAAGGCTATTTCAAAATGATTAAGTGCTCTTCCTGCAACCCTAAAGTAGCTTATCTTTAGGTGATATTTTACAAAATGAAGGTAAAATATAAGTTACCGGTGGAGTCGGTTATCATGCAAATGTGTAGCAGCCACGTTTTGAAAATGTGTTGATGCAACATTTGTAAACATAGTTGGCACCATATTATGTAATTGTGCAGGCATTACGTTATGCAATGGTGTAGGCCTGATGTCCGACAGCTCCTGCAACAAGAATAAAAAGATTAAGGTTATCAAAACGCACATTGATAACAATAAAACCATTCTCTGGCGTAACACATTGATTGACACTCATTTGGAAAACTTAAATTTGAGTGAAGCACAGATGATGATGATGATGATGATTTTGATGGGTATAATCAAGTGCACTTAATCATATATTGCAGCCAAATAAGAAGAAACAATATGCAAAACACATCTATAGCAATGACAAGCACCATAAAGAAAGCTTCGGTGGGCAGCTTGAACCAAATCCATCCTTAAAAGGTTTACTAAAACAAATGTCTTTCCCTTTTTGCTTGAAGTTCAGGACTAAACTCACCTAAGAATCAGATGTCAGGCTGATCTAAATTCTGATCCAATCTCATGTTAGGTACACAATTAAACACAAATAGTCACATACACTATGGTTCAGACATCACATTCTTCCAAGGCATCAAAATCATGAGAATAAAGTACAACAAACCATTTGGTGAAAGCCATCTTGTGACCCAACGTTGGCAGCTCCCGCAAGAGATACCTCCTGTTTACAGAAGCAACTTTTGGTGATTTACTTTTAATCAAAATGTTCAAAAATGACATCATGCATATAAACAGATTGCTCACTGACCTTTCCTTTTCTAGTTGCATTATTCTCATTAATTTGCCTCTCAAATGCAGCCTCAACACTTTGTGAAGTCTTGATTGTATTTGCCATTCTTGGGTCTGGAGGTTTTTCTTCAGGAGCATTAACACATTGATTGTGTCCTTCAACACCAGAAACAGCATGAACCATTGAGGTATTAGGTATGACATCATTCTCAACCGAATTATTGACACTAACACATTGCTTCAGAGCTTCTTTTATGGCAGATACTGCAAGATTATAGCTCTCTTGAGAAAGCGAACCTTCTTCACTTAATATTATGGCACGTCTACACAAATCACTGTACCGACGGACCTTAGATTGAACCTCATCCAATTTCTGACTGATTGGATGCCTGCTCAAGGCAGCATTAGTCCACCGTTGCAAAATATACTTTGATGGGATGCTGAACACACCAGACATCTGGAGCACAACAATAGCATGTCTACAAAGGTAACCCTTGTATTCGAAAGAGTGGCATGAGCAATATATATCTGATTTAGATTGATTCCATTCCACCATATAATTTAGATTATCTTCAAAGTCCTTAACACTATATGTTGCGGATGACTGATCTTCATTTTCCTTTTTAAGATGACAAGCAGCAGCTCCCAAAACCTCAACTTGGAATTTCTTGAAAATTTCATGTGTATATACAAGTGATATTTGTTTTTCAAAAGGTGATGGAGACTTCAGTTCAGGAGTCTCATGCCATGCATTAAAATCAGCTTTGGCTTCCTCTTCATACCTGTCCTCAAGAATTATTCTATACTGTTCTATAAAGTCCCTCAATGATGTTTCCCCATGCACATATTTGTCAAATGAAGAATTCAAACAGTCTGAGCGTAAAGCTGTAGATAATCCAGCAAAAGATATATCTCTCATAAAGGCAGGTACCCACTGTTTACGATCTTCATACAAAGACTGAATCCACTGCATCTCTCTAAGATGAAATTTGTCAACCATCTTCCACCACCTTTTTTCAAATTGCTCCTCAGTCCAAGACTGATAAATACATTTATTAAAATTTTGCATTACACTATCATGCCACAGGCTCAGATATTCAAGATGCCTGGGAAGTTTTTCCAAGACATGCCATAAACAGAAACAATGACGTGTGTTAGGAAAGACAGCTGCCACAGCTGCTTTTATGGCATTATTTTGATCAGTGAGCATCACTCGTGGGGCACATTCCCCCATTGCTACAAACCATGTTTGCATCAGCCAAAGAAAAGTATAAACTGTTTCATCTGCAATTAATGCACAACCAAGTAATGTGGGTTGAATATGATGATTGACTCCAATAAAGAGTACCAAAGGTATTTTATACTTGTTCGTGAAATATGTAGTGTCAAAAGACACAACATCACCAAACTTACTGAAATCTTCCATGCCTTTGGCATCAACCCAAAATACATTTCTCAATCGATGCTCTTCATTCAAATCAACTGCATAGAAAAATTTTGGGTTTTCTTCCTGCATGTGCATAAAAAGTTCAAGAAGTACTTGAGCATCTCCCTCTTCTAAAACCAAACACCGCCCCTTATCATGCTGATTTCTCATATAACCTTCCAAAAAGTCAAAATTTAGGTAGACACTAAATGGTTTAGAAACTGCAGCAACATTCTTCCGCCTCCTTCCAACATCGTTCTTAAGTGGATCAACATTTCTGTGGCTTCGAAAAAAATGTGCTTGGGCTGGTAAAAGTTCATGATTATGGTCCTTTATGAAACTATAAACATACCACTTTCCATCCTGCCTTCTCTTCACATGCATACTTGCTTTACAACCAATTTTTGGAGAAGGCCGAGGATTAATAGCATCATCAGACTGTTGCTTATTTCCATATCTTATGCATGTAAATTTAGCATCAATAAATTCCTTGGACACCCTGGAACGACGACTGCTCAATTTAGCAGTGCCAAAGCCAACAGACTTGGCATATTCTTTGTAATATGAATAAGCAGCTTCATGTGATTCAAACTCCAAACCTGGTTGTAGCTCTAAAATTGAGTCACTGCTGCTGATGGTAGATTCCATTATCTTAAGGGAAATATTCCGTTCCACTCTGCATACAATATGCACTTAACTCTAGTATCTGCTCAAACTAGGTTTACCATAAAACATTGTAAAGATAACCCCCAATGGAGACAATGGAAACCTTTGACTAAATGATTTCATAACAACAGTACCTAAAAATATGGATAAAATGCACGTCAAGCCAATACAGGATTATAGAAAATCATTAAAGAAGAAAGAAGGCAATAGGAAACAAAAAATATCAACTTATCCATTAAAAGAAAGCAATATCTAAAAATATACAGACAAGCCAAACAGCATACAAAGTCTATACCATATCCAACCAAGTTTAACCCTACACAGCTCTGCCCTAAGCTAGAATAAGGGGTTCCTTTTACCAAAATCAGTATATGATTGTAAAGAGGAGACTTTTCATTAAACAGAAACTACTGATATATTTTGCAGAAAAATATATGGCAATAGCAAAGACTGACCCCTAAAGAAAGGGCATCCTAAATAGATTTAGCAGTTCAAACCATTTAGTCTTCCCCCTTTGAGAAATAAGAACTTGGATCTCCAAAACGCCTTGCAGGTTATAGCAAAGAGATCATCAGGAAACTTAAAACACTGAACAACATATGGTCTTTAAGACTTGAAACCTCAAAACTTCTTATCGTATACGAACAATCTATTGTAACTTTTACACTTCTATATAGAGCACAATGAGACATTTTTCACATATGTGAGATCAATGATGTCACCAGCCCCCTACACTGCTGATTATTGGGCATTGTTGGCAACCCTATAAAAGACAATTTAGGGTCATTAAAAGTCATAGATGGATCGATGAAGAAAATGCGGCCTTGAATCTAATATTTGACTGTCTGAGCTTAGAAAGTAATGGCCTCATCAAAAGAAATATATCAAATTATATAAAAGGACTTCACTTGGGCTAGAAAAACTTCTGATAGTCTAAATATCAAATGCAAAAGGGTAGCATATGCTCCAACAATGTTAACAACCATATTATCTCTCATACTTATGCTGAATATATGCATTCTGTAGACAAGTGTATTGCTAGCAACCCAACATGATCTTAATGGATCATTCTCCTTCCTCAAATGATACACATAAATATATATATATATATATATGTCAACTACATTCCAGAAATAGACCTCATATCATTGAACAAAGTTATACTTCAAATCTTCCTCCCTCGGTGATCATTTAACAAGTATAACAAAGATTCTCCTAGTCAAGGAAAACTTAAGATACAGTACTGAACTTTTTTCCCATTTCTGCTTCCTCTGCTGGTAGAGTCAAGGAAGACTTAAGATACAGTAATGAACTTTTTTCCCATTATACATATTTATTTATGGGTGTGGAAATATTAAAATCTAATAGCAAGGAAACCTTTTAGGTTATATATCAGCACCTCATACTCTAATAAACCAACTCACATACATTTAATCAAAGACTTCATAGGCTCACACCATATTTTATATCCCCAATCTTTCCAGTAAACTCAAGCCCTAGTCTCAATCAAAAAGGTAAAAATCAAAGCAACCTTCTATTTCATTGCAAAAAAAAACTAAATTACTTCCCCCAAAAATATCTATTTGCTATGCTGCCCACCCGAACCAAAAAATTTCAATGAAAGCAGTCTCCTACATGAGAACTAACCACAATCAAGAGCCAACAACCAAAGTCATAACTAATTCAAGGTTATATAAACACCATAAAATCTAGTTCCTAACTTTTAGGTTCCTAATTTTAGTTCCTCCAAACATTTATTTCCATAACGGATTCGTATTCTTTTTTTCTATTTTCCCTTTAATTCCATCATCTTTAAGCCAGCTCACTAATCAACCACGTGCATTATTTCATAGCTATAAGTCTAGCAATACCCTTCTTAGAAGCTAGAACTTCATAAAATTTTTATTTTTATAGCTTAATTTACATAAACCAAAAACCCCCCAAATCAAACTAACCAAAGACTCCCAAAAACCAATGACAAGCCCAAAATCTGCAACCTAAATTTCAAACTCTACAAATCCAGAGAGCCAGAAGGGAAATTAATACAAAAATGGTTTAAATACTCTAATTTCAGAAAGTAAATAAAGAAATGAAGCAAATTCATTAAATCAAATACCTGACGAGAAAAAAAATGGATGAAGATGGGAAAAAGGACAGACTTGAAAGGCCTCTGACTACAATTTTACTGGGAATCTCTTTTTTTTTTTTTTCCTTTTTATCGCAGCATCGAATCAATCTCAAGTGGGTGAGAAATAAAAACAAGAAAAGGAAGAAACGTCGAGAAAAAAGAAAGGGGGGGTGGGCGAGGGGAAAGAGAGCCTAGCCTGAGAAGGTGGGGCAGGTGATAGAAATGGATAGCTATTACCAAAAGTGTTATATCATTATGTCTTTGACAATAAAACCGAGATTTGGTCGTGCAAAGTTTTTTTGCATTAAACAAGAATTATTTGAAAATATTAAAGGTCGTTTGGTTTTGGTTTCGGGGAAAACATATTTTTCCGTTTTAATTGCTTTCCAAAAAATCTGCATACGATTGGCCAAAAAATAAAATAAAATAAAATCTGCAGATAGATAAAATTGGATGGAAATATTGCTAAGAAAAAAAATTTATCTTTTTTTTTTTTTCTAAAACTTTAGCTTTAAAGTACTATAAAATATCGTACAACACAAAAATTCTTCACTCGAAATTAGTTTTTAAAAAACTTTACAAAATCTTAGCCTAACATCTTATTTATCTTCTGTAGTCGCATTGTGTCTTGTATTCTTTTAACCAATTGCATTATTGATTTCTTCATTTGTTTGAATATACTCTTATTCCTTTCCTTCCAAAATTAGGAAATGCATACATTCCAAGCCAATCTCAATATGATTGAGATCAGTATTTTCCCTTTTAATCTACTCACTGCCCAACGTAGTTCTTTCCAACTCTTTACCCTTCTGTCAATCCTACACAAAAGTAGGATCCTTTTCCACACTTCTTTCGAGAAGTCACATCCAAAGAATACGTAGTCGCTTGATTCAACCTTATTTTTAAACAAACAACATCTATCTTCAACCTCCATACCCCAAGCTTTTCAATCTACCTGGAGCCAATTCACAATTGTCATCTAGGAAATCAAAGAATGCTTTGGTATATGAAATTTGAAGCAAGTTAATCTGTGTCACCCTACTTTGCCTTGTTTAGGCCTAATCTCATTCTAAACTATTATAGCAAAGTTGAAATTCCATGGAAAAGACCATTCCTCAATGCTATTCTCCATCTTGATGAATTTTAAGGCAATCTCTCGTAGTTTGAGTATTTTTCCTCTAACTCCAGCCACTATTTTGCTAAGCTGAAATCATCCAAATGCTTCTTCCCTTAAGCACATAAGCTTCTAACCATGCAATCCATATTGATCCCGCCTTGATAAAGATTGACCATACATGTTTTAATAAACAAGCCTGGTTCCATGATTTCAAATCTTTGAGAACTAACCTTCCTTCTAACTTAGGATAATAGATTCCCTTCCTACTACTCTAGCCCCCCTTGCTAATTCATCTTTTCCTTTTTAGAATAAGCTAGAGCATAATTTCTCAATCTTTTGTAACATATGCTTAGAGAAGCATAAAATGCTTACACCAATAGTTTTATATGTTGTATAACACTGGATCAACTACAATCTCCTTGCATATGAAAATTGTCTTATTGTTCAACACTTGATCTTGGCTATGATCTTTTTTATCAATGGGAAGCAGTCTCCCTCAATAAGCCTTCTAGTGACCAATGGTACTCCCAAGTACTTGATAGGTAATACACCAATCTTGAATCCTAATGGTTGTTGTATTTCCTACAATTCTTATCTGCTAATTCCTGAATGAAACAACTCATATTTTTCATAGTTGATTTGCAATTCAAAAATGGCATAGTTTTTAGGAAGAGTGGGGTCAAACCCCATTGGTTTTGGTCAATTAAAAGCCCTAAAGTTTTTTTTGTCTTTGACCTAAGAGAGCCCTACTTATATAAAGCCTTAAATAATAAAAAGAGGGGTCATGTAATAGAGAAATAAAAGGTGGTGGCGCCAAAATAAAAAAAAAAAAAGCTAGAAAAAATAGAGAAAAAAAAAAGAACAAGGGAGAGTTGGTTGAATGAAAGTTGATCCATAGTCCAATTTAGATGAAATTTTAGAGTTCTATATTTTGAACAATGAAGATTGGGTTTGAAGCTCTCTAGAAATAAATCTATGATGTATTTGTTGAGTCACTTATTTGGTGAGATTTCTCCAATTATTTCTGTAGTTGTTGATTAACTCTAGTTTTAACTAGATAAAAACTTTGTATATCCATTATTTGATAGTGAAGATTTTTTTAGTAGTCAGTGGCTTCTCCTTCTACATTGGAAGGTTTTTCATGTAAATCTTGGTGTGCTTTTTTTTTTCTACATTGTTGATTGTTGATTGTTGTCTATTACTGTGAGTTTATTACGATATATTGTTTCTACATTATTGTGTTTGTTACTTCAAGCCTAATAAGTGGTATTAGAGCAAGGATAATTTTGAGATATCGATACAGAAATAACTCAAGATAGAAGTAAATTCTGTTTGAGATCATAGAGGATGATACAGATTCTATGATAAAATTGACAACATCAAATTATTCAATTTAGAAGCTTATGATGAAAGATCATTTATACAACAAAGATTTGTATGAGCTGGTTGGGTGATCAGCTAAACCAGTAAATATGAAAGATGAAGACTAAAAGAAATTAGGTAGAAAAACACTGGCTACAATTAGAAAATAGGTTGATATCAGTGTGTTCTATCATGTAACATTGGAAACAGATGCCAATACTATTTAAAAAAATTGACAACATTGTATGAGAGAAAAATAGATATGACTAAAGTTATGCTTGTTAAAAAGCTTACAACTTTATAGTACAGGGATGAATGATTGATTATAGAGCACTTAAGTGATTTTCAAGATATATTTAATCGGATGACTACATGAAACTTAAGATGAATAATGAAATAAAGGCATTATTTCTTTTGGGTTCATTAGCAAACAGTTAGAATACTCTAGTTATGAATATTTTTAATTTAGCTCTTGATTACAAGGTGACATTAGAGATGGTAAATGACAATATGCTTAATAAAAAAATAAGGTGAAAAGATTTAACTTTGAAAATCAAGCTTGGTCGAAGAGAACAGAGGTAGAAACATCAACAGAGGTCAGAACTCAAAAGATCGTAGTAAGTCTTAACATATATCCAAGTCTAGAGATAAAGTAAATGTTTCCATTGTGGCAAAGCAGGTCATATAAAGTGATTCCATAAAATCTTAAAGGAAGAGCGAAAAGATGAGAAAGGCAAGAATTTAGATGATGGCAATGTTATAGTAATGAATTTAGATAGTGATTTAGTTACTTTAATTTTTACACAGTAATTGTAATCATGTTGGTAATCCCAACATTGAGTGGATAGTTGGTACAAAAGTGGCATATCATTGTGTTCCTCAGAGGGAGCATTTATAATGATTGTACCAAGATAGGAAATAAGAGTGCATCACAGATTATTAGGATTGTTGATATTATTGTACAAACTAATACGGGTTGCATGTTGACTTTAAGATATGTCAAACACTTTTCAAATATGATAATGAACTTGCTTGCTATTAATATCTTTGATAAGAAAGGATATGAGAGTCAACAAAAGAATGGGCAATAAAAGCTTTTCAAAGGATCTATGGTAGTTGTAAGGGAAAAACTATATTGCACAACATATAAGACATGGATGTAATTGAATGGCAACTAAATAAATACCATTAAAAATGAAGCTTCAGCAAATTTGTGACACAAAAGGCTGACACACATAAGTGAAAAAGGTTACAAGTTTTGGCAAAGCAGTCTCTCATTGTTTATTTGAAAAGCATCGTAAAGTTTCTTTTATTAAAAATTCTCAAAGAAAAGAAAACAAATTGAAATTGATTCATTCTAACGTATGTGGTCCTATTGAGGTTGAGTCATTAGGTGGTAGTAAGTATTTTGTTACTTTTATTAATGATGCTTCATGTAAAACTTAGGTGTATATATTGAAAAATAAAAGTAAGGTATTGTAGTATTTTTAAAAATTTCATGCCATGATGGATTAGATGATAGGGCTACCCTTAAAGTGTTTCGGACTGATAATGGTGGAGAATACACATCTAAAGACTTTGAAAAGTACTATTCAAAGTATGGGATCAATCATGAGATGATAAAACCTGGCACACTATAGCATAATGATATAGCTAAAATGATGAACTGCACCATTGTAAAAAAAGTCATATGTATATTGAGGATGGCAAAATTATCAAAGCCATTCTGGGGTGAAACAGTCAACACAACTTGTTATTTGTTTAACAAATCATCATTAATTTTTTTGGGCTTTGACATTTTAGAAAGAGTGTGGATAGGGAAAAATGCTTTATACTCTCACTTGAAAGTTTTTTAGTGTAAAACATTCATGCATGTGCCGAAAGGATAGAGGTTAAAGCTTGACAGTAAAGTTACACAGTGTGTATTTGTAAGATATGGTGATGAGAAATTTGGTTATAAGATATAGGATTTAGTGAAAAAAAGACAGTCAGAAGTAGGATGTGATCATCCATGAAAAAAAAACTATAGCAAACCTTGAGAAAAATAAAAAGATTATACAGATTACTATTAACTGTAATGTTTTAGGGTTCTATAAGAAAAAGCCATAAATGGTGGAAATAAGTAAAAAACAGAACTTAGGGATATTAATAAGCTAGCCACAATTAGTGATAGGCTAGATGCAATCAGTTTTAAATAGAGAGAACAATCTTTTCTACATGAGAATGTTGAGTAGGATGAGCAATCTTTTCCTCTAAAGAGTATTGAATAAGGGGAGCCATCTTCGACATTAAGTGGTGTACAGTCTCAACCTAAAAAATTTACTAGAGAGCACAAGTTATCTACTAAGTATCTAAGTTTAAATTTTATTTTAGTTATTAGTAAAGGAAGCCAGAGAGCTTTCAAGATGTGCATGCTATTTTGGATAAAGAGTACTGATTAAAAGTAATGAAAGAAGAGATTGAGTCATTGTGAAAAAATGGTACATATAATCTTATTAAAATTCTCAAATGGAGAAGGTCGTTGAAGAATAAATGGGTGTTAAAGTTGAAAAAAGATGATGATAAACTAGTGAGGTACAAAGCTCGATTGATGGTGAAAGGTTTTTCTCAGAAACTAAGCATAAATTTTGATGAGATCTTCTCTCTAGTTGTGAAGATGAGTTCCATTTAAGTGGTACTGGGTTTAGTTGCTAGTTTAAATTTGAGTTTGAGCAATTTAATGTTAAGACTACATCTTGCATGATGACTTACGGAAGGATATTTATATGAATCAGCTTGAAGGTTTTGAAGTGAAAGAGAAATAGCACTTAGTTTATAAACTGAAAAAAAAATTGGAATAGCTTAAAACAAGCTTTGCAACAATGGTACAAAAAGTTTGATTCTTTTATGGTAAGTTACAACTATAAAATAACGGTAGCAAATTCTTGTGTGTATATCAAAAAATTTCCTAATGGTAACTTCATTATTATTATTTTATTATATACTGATGATATATTGATTGTAGGACAAGATGCTGGTATGGTTCGCAAGTTGAAAAATGGTTTGCAAGTTGAAAGAACAATTGTTTAAATCCTTTGACATGAAAGATTTAGGTTCAGTAAAACAGATTCTTAATATGGCATTATTTGAAATAGGAAAGCTAAAAAGTTATGGTTATCATAGGAAAAGTATATTGAACGGGTGCTTAGTAGATTCAACATATAACATGCTAAATTAGTTAGCTGTCGACTTGTCATTCATTTTCATCTGAGTAAGAAATCTTATCTGTTGAGTAAAGAAGAGAAACTAGCTATGTCTAGTATTCCTTATTCTTTTACAGTTGATTCTTTAATGTATCTTATG